CAAGCTAAGAACTACGCAACCTACAGTTCAGTTTAGATCGTGAAAATTTCTTGCCTTTCTTTATTTCATGATCTAAACTGAACTGTAGGGACAATTAATTGATAAGTAAAATGTTAGATCCTCTAGCGAGGCATCGTGAGACGATGAAGGATCTCGCAGGGAGGGTGCGTGCCTTTAGTTTTAGTTAATCATAAGGTAATTAGTATGCATCTGTAAATTCACTGTGAGAGTATTCTATAGAATTATACTATAATATATGTGAAACAACTTTTATTTCTTCTTTAAATATGTAAAATATTTTACATATTATAATTATAGTTATAATTATTTTCAATTTAAGTTTTGATTTGCATTCGAATATATTGTGCTTTTTATAAGAAATTGTGAACATTTTGCAATCATATTTGCATTCGAATATATTGTGCGTTTTATAAGAAATTGTGAACATTTTGCAATCATATATCAGACGTTGCATTTTTTTTTTTTTTTAATTGAATAAATTTTTCGTTGTCAAAAAAATACATTGGATACTTGGTCTATTCATATACCTCGTTTGTGATATAAGGCTATATTCCGTAGATATGTTTATATTTTTCATTAAATTTTCACAAAATATTAAAGAATTATATAAAATAAATAAGAAAGTTTTATTATTTTCATAATATTGACAGACAAAGTAGTTTATAGAAAAATTTCGAATAATATTTTGATTAATAAGCATAATTTTTAACTAATGAATTATAGAATTTATGTCATTTGTCGTAATCGGTGCATTGCACAGTTATAATAAAATTGTTCAAAATTTAACATAAATTTAAATGTAATATAAGGAATATATAAATGAGGAAATATTTTAATATTAAACTTATTATTGATAATAAAATATATAAAATTATTATATATAATACAATATATAAAATTTGAAAATTTTGTTAGTTAAAAATTTATACATAAAATCATATATTAATAATTTTAACTTATTATATATTGAAAAATTAAATTCGTAAAACATGAATAGACTTCTTTCTGATGTAGAGGAGGATGTTTTTGGTTACTTCGTCTATGGTTACTAACTTCACATTTCGCTACTGAAAGTTCGACAACATTGTTATGGGTTTCAACACCATGTTGCTGGTAAATTTATTAGTTCCTCAACTAACCGTTGTTCAAACGTAGAGTGCGCTACAATGCCAGTGATTTTTTAGTATGTCGGTATTTCAGATCACGGGCCACGAAAGTCCGTAAAGTGCAATATCTATTCATATACCTTGTCTATGACATAATCAATATCGCATTTTATAATATCCTTAATAATTCATACTTACATACAAAACTTCACGAACAAATTTTAACTAATTTAGTCGAATAATAGATGCAAATACTTTTCATAATGTTGATTTACAGATTTTAACAGCTGTCTGTCCTGAATTATTTACAAAAAATTTCAAATATCCTCTGAGGAGCAATATAGTAAATTTGCTTCAGAACATGTGCTGTAGGTGGCGGTGGCGATTAAAGATCTCTGCATGTGCTGTCACATGTTTTTACAGTTCGCAGTTTTTGTCGGGACGGAGTCAGATGCATGTGAGTATGTGAGTCGGCTTGGCGAAGTGCATTGTCGAGTGAAAGCTGTGCACGCGTGGCCACACGTTAATTTCTCTTGTCACACGTGATTAGAACGATGGCAGCTAAAATGCAACACTTTGATCCACCTAGCTCGGCGAGTTCTGAAAGGTGAGCGTCGATATTTTGCCATCCGTTTTGTCTCTCTACTCGAATACACATGCTGAGTTCATCGTGTTTCAGCGATGATGCTGAAGTTTGTTTGGACGAGAAGGAAATTTTCCTTGCCGATGAATTATGCGAAGATGCTGAACACTACAGACGTTCTGACATTGGAACACCAACGCCGCAATCTCCGAGACCACCTTCCACTGGTGAGATTATTGTCGAACATTTTCTCAATATCGCTTTCCGAAGTATTTGACACTCGTGTTTTACTCGTTTCTCGAAAACGTACTTACAGAGTCAGTGGTATGGAGTACTTGTGTTTGGCAAGCAGGATGTACTTGGTTTACTGAAGTAGAGTCCCTTTGCCATTTGAAGAAAACAGTCAGAATTTCCAAAAGTACTTTCATCCTTTATCCTTTATCCTGTCCGTAACAATTGAAAGGAACAACTTTTGTTCCCGATTTTTATTCAATTTTTCTTCTATGCCTATCTTGAAAATGAATCAGAGAGAACTATTTATGCTTACATGGCAGGTTCCCAGAGATCACCAAGGTCAAGAAGGCAACGCACTACTAGTTTATCTCAATCTAGCAAAAAGACTTCTGCAGAGTCTATCCTTAGAAGTAAAACAAGAACAATATATACAGCTGGTAGACCACCGTGGTATAATTCAGCTGGTCAGCAAGTGGAGCCCTTTGTAATTGGTTGGTAATAAAAGTATATAATATCTTTACTGCTTCAAAGGGAAGGAATGTATGATATTAGTTTCGTTTTAGGTATTTGTGGGGGCAGTGCATCTGGAAAAACTACAGTTGCAACGAAAATTATAGAATCTTTGGATGTACCTTGGGTAACTCTTCTCAGCATGGATTCATTCTACAAAGTATTTATTCATTTTTATAAATGCCACTGCTCCAGAGAAGAATATAGATAACGTGTGTGGGAATTTTTCTCTATACAGGTACTGAATGAAAAACAGCACGAAATGGCTGCCCATAATGAATACAATTTCGATCATCCGGACGCGTTTGACTTCGAGTTACTTAAAACGACGCTGCAGCGTTTAAAGGAGGGCAGAATGGTGGAAGTTCCTATCTATAATTTTGTAACACATCGTAGAGAAAGTAGAACTGTACGTCGGTATTGACGAAATTGATATGTTAATGACGAACGTATCTCGCGCATATGATACATGTTTTTTCCCTTTATTTTAAAGAAAACAATGTACGGTGCCAACGTGATTATATTTGAAGGAATATTGACGTTCTACAATGTCGACGTTTTGAAGGTAAGCCGACGTACTGCCCGAAAAGCAGAATGAGTGGGTTTGAACGACAGCAGTAAGGTACGAAAGTAAAAATCAAATTACCACTGATCTGCTTCCTTCGATTGGTTAAGATGTGCGACATGAAGGTCTTTGTTGATACTGATGCTGATGTGAGGCTTGCTCGGAGGTTACGTAGAGATATATCGCAGAGAGGGAGAGACTTGGAAGGTGTGCTAAAGCAATATAGCACTATGGTGCAACCTGCTTTTTATTATTATATAGCGCCATTAATGGTTCACGCGGATATTATCGTGCCTCGCGGTGGAGATAACGAAGTCGCGATAGAACTCATTGTACAGCACGTACATACTCAGCTTCAACTGGTAAAATCATCAGTCTCTTAAATTCTGCTCTCCTTTGTCACGTTTACTTATCATCATTTCTTTTCATTCCAGAGGGGTTTCAAACTCAGAGAAAAATTAGCTCATTCTTATATCGGTCAGCCACTACCATCTTCTCTCTACCTACTTCCAGATACGCCACAGATTAAGGGTCTTCATACATTTATAAGAAACAAGGAAACGTACAGGGATGAATTTATATTTTACTCCAAACGTCTAATACGTTTGGTTATTGAATACGCGCTATCTCTTTTACCATTCGAGGTAAATGCAACACACATAGTATGTGCCAGTGAAATACGATTAACATGTCTTCGTGCCGTCGTTTAATATTTCGCGTGTAACATAGGATGTAACAGTAGAAACGCCACAAGGAGTATTATATCACGGGAAACGCGCCGCTACGGATAAGATCTGCGGTGTTTCAATTCTGCGTGCCGGCGAAACTATGGAGCAAGCTGTTAGGGACGTGTGCAAAGACATAAGAATAGGGAAAATACTTATACAAACGAACCAACAGACTGGAGAACCAGAGGTAAGTGTAACTTTTTAATTTATATCCGTTTAAACGTTAATGATATAAAAATTACGAATTTATTTCCTGCAGCTTTATTACCTTCGATTACCAAAAGATATTAAAGACTACAAAGTAATATTAATGGATGCAACAGTAGCAACAGGTGCAGCTGCCATTATGGCTATTAGAGTTTTATTGGACCACGACGTTGCCGAGGAGAACGTGTTACTCGTATCCTTACTTATGGCAGAGTCCGGTGTCCATTCGATTGCTTACGCGTTCCCACGTGTAAAGATCGTCACGTCCGCCTTAGATCCTGTGATAAACGAGAAGTTTTACGTATTGCCCGGTATCGGTAACTTTGGCGATCGATACTTTGGAACCGAGCCATCTTCCATCGAAGATTAAAGCAGTTTGAGAAAAGATTCGATTCTCAGACTTCGATTCTCGAAACAATTTAATCTGCTAATGCAAGTACAGTAATCTCATATATCTTTAATAAAATTTGTGTTACACTGAGAAATGCACGTTTTTACATTGACTTCCCCCCCTGCACAGTACAAATTTCAACGTCCATCTACTTAATTGTACGATTAGAGCGTTGTTGTGTCGATGTTAGAGCCAACCAAGCCTCCTTCTGCAGTGGTACCCGTGCTGCGCAATTGCCTGTAACCTTGTGCACTTGCCCTACGGGAACGGCGCCAAGAATCCAAATGGCCAGAGCTGGCGTTACTTGATTGTCCCAAAAGATACGTGATCATTCGATCAAGCGCGGCCAAGTCTTCGCTCGTGTGGCCAGTATTACTCAAACCTTCCGGTGGATTAAAACCACTGGACACTGGTGTGTCTTGCTTCTGTTCGGTGTTTCGAGCGTTACTTAGTCCGCTGGTAGCGTGCAGTCCGAGCTTCGATGTAAACTGTATAAATTACAAATAACACTTTGCGCA